TGAGGCTGCATGGACCCCGTCTCTCACCTCTCCCCCTGAGACTGGTCAAGCGGCCAGGATAGGAAGGAAGAAAGGGGCAGGAGCTTCTGGGAGGGCAATGATCTGATCTCAGGAGGGCGGGGCCAGTGGGGCATTTTCCTTGCCTGCAGTAACATGATGTCATTGGAGAAGTTCTTCGGATTATAGTCTGGGTGGCGGATGGTTCTCCTCACCTGGATATCCTGCTGGGGCCTCTCCTGCTGTTTGATGTTGTGGTCCCCCAGGGTGACGTTGATTGAGCTGCACGGAGGACAGAGCAGGGGTGTGGGGATCATGGGGTCACCGGAGATACAGCCCAGGAGCTGTGACAGGCAGCTGACACCAGGGCAGGGCAGCCGCTGAGGGGGAATTGAGGTGACAGACGGTCCTGGGTGACTCTGGGCCCTGTGCTTCTCGGTGACATGAGGGCAGGGCTCCCGGGAGCTTTCTCAGCAATATTGTGAGGTGACTCTGAGCTTGGGTTTGGCTCTAACTGCACACTCTCATCCTTTTCTGATACTTTATTTGGCCATTGTGGGTCAGCCCTTCTCAACCCAGTCTCTTGTTCTCACCTCCGACCCACTGACCTCAAAACTTACCTGTCCTGTTTCTCAGCCTTTCATCACCCTAGTCCTGCTCATAAGATGGCTTGTTTCATGAGCTCTTTTGGTCCTGATTTCCGGGCTCCTCGGGCGAAGGAGGGGTACCCCTGGGCTCAGCTCCTGGGGAGAGGACAGGTCCCTGTCCAGGCATCAGGAAGGGTAGGCTGGCTACTGCCCCTCACCTCCCTCTGCAGTGAGCAGCTGTCAGAACAAAGTCCTTTTGTATGAGGACACCACCACACCTCTTCCAAGTCTTCTCACCCAGAAACTGAACCAAAGCCATGTAGGGGCGGGAGTGGGGCTTGGCCTCGTGGGCCCCAGTGATCTCCTCTGAAAGAAAAGGCTGTAAGATGGGGAGATGGGAGAGGCTATGGTTAGAAGGGAGGTTCGGGAAGGTGGCAGTCAAGGTGGGTCAACGGTGCCCAGCAGACACTAGGGGAGAGTCCCCCAGGTTCTCACTGCAGTGGGAAAAGCTTTTCTGAACCCCAAACCTCAGTATTACTCTCCACGCCCTGATTCACAAACACATATGGAGGGGCCTGAGACTTGCCTTCCAGAGGGTGGAGCCCAGAAGATCATGGATGGGACCCCCGATGAGCCCTCATTCTCATGGAGTCTCCTGGACCCTCTGAGCCTCTGCTAACATCCTGATAGGTGTCATTTTCTATAATCCACCTGTGAGATTATGGAGTTGGGTTTTCTAAAATCCTCATGTCCTAGAGCATAATGCATCCCAGGATCTCAGTAAACATCTGTTGACTGCACAGATCAATGGCCTCCAATTAGCTTTTGGCTGAGGTTTGGTGGGGATAGTACTGGTTGGATTTAAGACAACAGGGGTGGGGGAGGACCCTGCCAAAGACAGTGGGGCAGAAAATGAACTGCTTGGGGCCTGGGGAAGAGTAACGACACCCAGAGAGCTTAGGGTGCTGTCATCTAGCCATTTCTGACCAATCACACCCTGGGCTCCTCTCCTGGCAGGAATGAAGGGTGGGGGAAGCGGACAAGTTTCTCTGGTTTTTAAGCTGGGTCCACTGACAACTCCTGTACTGTGGATGGTTGGTCTGAGTTTTCCTTTCCTGGCTGGAGTGAGGAATTTTCTTACTTGTGTTTTGTAGCTTCACATCCTCCACCAAATGCACAACCCACTTTACCAGTGGTGAGAGAGAGGCTGACAGCTACAATGCTTTTAGTGAAAGCTTGCTTCCTACCATCCATCCTTGCTGAGTGTCTATGCAGCATCGAATGTGTAGTCCTTGTTGGGATGGGAGCTGGTTCAGACATTGGAGCTGAGCAGAAGGGCCAGGATTGTGGGAGGTTTAGTGAAATGGGCTAGCCTGTCAGGAATGGGGATGGTCACTCACCTGTCCCAACCCAGGAGGCAGAAGAAAGGCCATCAGGAGCAGGAGTGGCTGCATCTTCCAGAAGGTTTGCCCAGTTCAGAGCTGCTGGGGTTTTCCCTTCCAGACACAAAGCATAGAGGAAGGAAGGAGGGGAGGCTCAGAACCCCCACAGACCTCCCAGAGCTGTGCATCACTCCAGCTGGGTGTGAGTACGCCACTTGTGCCCATGTTCTCTGCTTGGGAGAGGTGAGAACAATGGTCACCACACTTGCTCTCCCACTGCTGAGTCACAAAGCAAGAGGAAGAATAAGAAAGTGGAGGCTGGGGTGCAGCCAGGGGAGAAGCTGGGTCCCCAGAAGCCCTCAGTGACTGAAGCAAGAGTGTCTTCATTTCTCCCCTCTTGGGTCTTCTTTGATTCTGAAAGCATGCAGAATTACCCAATAGGTGAGCTTCAGGGATAACAGAGACATGGCTCCTGTCCTTGAGAAGCTCAGGGGGCCGGAGGAGACCTAGAATCTGTGAGTAGAGATCACGTGGGTGAGGACTATGGCGTGGGGCTCTACTTGGGGCCGAGTGTGAGGCAGAGACTGGACTTGCTTTAGGAGCAGAGAAACCTGGACTCATCCAAGTGCCCCAAACATCAACCCCATTTCCTATTTTGTCAGGGTTCTAGCCTCACATATTTGGAGGATTTAGAATCTCCTGTTTAAATATAAGTATTCTGTAACAGAGAGAGCCTTTCTTATCCAAAAATTTTGAATGAAAGTCCTGAACTTGATATTTACTGAACCAGAAAAAACCATCACTGGGTCCTTCGGCAATGAGGGACATGATTGGATTGTGCTGAGGTATCCAGCACCCCTCCAGCTCACATGGGGGCTGTCCCACCTGAATCAGGGTGTTTGTGAGTCAGGACGGACTTCCTCTCCAGAAATGCTGGTGAATGGTGAAGGGGAAACAAATGCCAGTCATCTAATACTTAGTCCCCACTAATATTCTCTATCCTGAGTCCAGAGAGCCACATCTCAGATGTCTCTAGGCCAGGCCATCCTAAAGAAGCAGATGACCCCAACACTCTCACCAGTATGAGGACAGAAGAAAGAGAAATGGAAAGGATGGCATGAGGAGCTCTAAACAACCCAGTCCCATGTGAGTTGAAGCAAGAGCATCTTAGGAATAAAGAAAAACAGTGGAAGGAAATATGCTTAAGCCTTAATGATGACCTGGGGGTGGTGGAACTGCTCTTCGTTTACTTTTCCTACTCGTATGTTCTGTATTTAGTTGTCTTTCTGTGATGAATGGGCAGAGGAGCCTGGAGGGCGACAGTCCATAGGGTCACAAAGAATCGTACACAACTGAAGTAACTTAGCACACTTGCATGCACCGTGTTGAATATGTTCCATTTATGAGGAATATCTTTTGATGAATATGTGTTACTTTCTACCCAGAACCCATTGTGCAATAGTTGAAGCCCACTCTCCATTCAAATGTTCAGGAAACCACTTCTCTTAAGCCCTCTCTAAGCTGCATGTCTTAAAACTGAGGTTGCTTTTATGAACCTTGTATCAAAACTTCAGCAATTGATAAAATAAAAAAATACAGGAAGAAATGTACCCAATAACTATAGGCTATAGATATTCTTTGAAACTTTCGGATACCTTGAAACCAATGATTTTCTTTATAGTGAGTTTCCTTTGGAGATAAATATATTTATACACAAACACACATGGGAATGATGAAGGTGGGGAGCTGCTGGCTCAGCCCAAGGTGGAAGAGCTCCCTAAAGGTCACCTGGGGCTGAAGGAGGGTGTGCCCTCAGGACACCAGAGGCTGCACAGAGCCCTGGGCCCAGGACTCCAAGGCAGGGCTGTGAGAGGCACTCAAGCTGGGCCTAGGAATACTGAGGGCCTCCTGAAACTTTCTCAGGCTTCTGAGCTCTGCCTGTCTGACACAGGAAGGGAACACTACATGGGGTGAGCTAAACTTTGTAAACTCCCCCATTTCTGTTAGGGTGGACAAGTACCCCCCTGCCTCAACCCCAAGTGCCCGCCTGCCTCAACCCTCAACCTCATGTGGCCCTCCTTCCAAATCTGGATTCTCTTGTTTTCCTCCAGGGCACTGGGGTTGGGGGGGGCGGGGGAGGGGAGTAGGTGTGGACGAGGAAGAAGGCATATGGATGAGACACAAGGGTTTTCAGGAGAGGGTCGTGTGTTCCTGAGAGGGGTCTCCTTCTCTGATGCAGCTCACGGGGAGCCTGGACGGGAGCTGGCCCTGGGGACATGTGACTGGAGGGAGCTGGCTGTCAGTGCAGCAGGAGTTTTTATTCCAGAGTTGGAACAGGGTGGTGTCTTGGAGGCGGAAGCCAGTACCAGATCAGAACTATAAACAGGTCAGACACGGCAGGTGCTGAATGAATGTGTTTAGGTAAGTAAAGGAGGAATCCATGATTTCTGCTCCAGAGATGGAAGTTTATTAAGTTTCAGGCAGCCTAGCTTCTAAGCACTTTGCCCAGTGCCTCCATCCCAGGGAAGATGGACAGATCAGTCCTGGAGAAACCTCAGTCTGATCCCAGAAGTTCATACTGTTTCATTATTGTTTGGATCCAAGGCAGAAAGCTTGAGATTCTGGTGAAGATCCCTGGAGGTGACCCATCCTCTTTTCCATAGGACACAATGCCCTGGGCCACACCATCACACACAAGCGGGCCCCCGGAGTCACCCTGTGGGCAGAGAGGGCAGGACTGAGCTCACCTTCTTCAGGTCTGTTCTCCCTGCCACCCTGGGGTGGGTGGTCTCTGTTAGGGGCCCTGGCTGATATAAGGGTCTTGTTGTTCCTGAGGGTTCAATCTGGCCCTGACAATCTGTGTCCTCCCACAGGAAGCCTCTGCCCATGTGGGACTTTGAGGCAATGTCCATCCCCCAGGGACACCAGACAGAGACAGGACAGGAGGACAGGCTGGGGACACAGGACAGAGCTCATTCCCACAGCCCTGGACCCAAAGACCAAGGCTTTGCATGGATAGTACTGGGGATCTCACCTCAAAGGAACCCTTCCTCTTTCCTGGGTGCCCTGCACATATCTGGGTGGTGGTGCTGTAATATTTGTAGCGAGAGGTGCATTTCTCGGCCCTTTGGACTTCAAGCTCTACCTCCTGTAGTTTATTTGGGCAGGACATATTCACGCCAAGACACCCCCAGCCAGCCACACTGCATAGCATCCCTGGATTCACCGTATCCCAGTCCCTGGGCAGACTGATGGGCCTCACAGCGGTGGTCACTTTCGCCTTCCTCGTCAGCTGAAAGCAGAGGAAAGGCACTCTTACCTACTGATGGCCCACAGAGACTGCAGGACGGTCGTGGGCTTGCCTTCTTCACAGCCCTGGGACCACAGAAGGGGTCATACAGGAGGAGGGTCTGGACTGAGGTCATGGGGGATGCAGAGCCCAGGAAGGAAGTGTCCTGGAGTCAGTGTCCCACCTGCAGTAACATGATGTCGTTGGTCCAAGTCTTGTCATTATAGCGTGGATGCGGGATGGCTCTTCTCACTGCGATGACCTGCTGGGTCCTCTCCTGCTTATTGATGTTATGTGCCCCCAGGGTGACATTGATTGAATTGCACAGAGAGCAGAGAGGGAAAGGGAGTCACAGGAGACACAGTCCAGGAACCTGAAGGAATGCTTGGGCCAGTGCGGGACTTAGGGAGGGGAGAATTCGAGGCGATGGGCCCTGGAGCTGAGCATCTCTTTGCTGTCTGCTTCCTGGCAGCCTGGGCAGGGTAGTAGTTCCTGGAGTCCACGGAGGGTGTTCAGTCCTGCACAAGTGTGTCTGTGTCTAGGAAAACGTGAATTTTTCACACGTGCACTCTGGGCTCCAGGGCACAACATTGGCTTCCTTCCATATTATGTTGGATCAGACCCTCTCTCCATGCGTCAGTGGCACTGACCTGTCCCTCTCTTGCCAAAGCTCACCTGTCCTCCAAAGAGCTTCTTACCTTACCTGGTGGCCTAGGTCTGCAGCCCCTGAGAAGAGGGTTCCCTGGGAGGGCTCAGAGAGGGATGGGGACCCGGGCACTGCTCCTCACCTTCCCAGGCAGTGAGCTGCTGTCAACACGAAGTCCCCACGCACAAGGAAACCCCCACAGAACAAAATGTTCTCTGGAGTCTGGATTTGAAGATATGCCATGTAGGGACGGGAGTGAGGCTTGGCCTCATGGCCCCCGATGATTTTCCCTGAAAGAAAGACACCAGCCTGCCCGCTGTGCTCATGGAGCCAAGGCTGGGGAGGGGAGATGGGTCCATATTTGCTCGACTTTGACCTGAGTTAGAAAAGTTGCTGAAGATGGGCCAGAACGAAGATGTGCATGAGTGTAGCATCTGAGCAGGTCTGTCCATGTGGGGAGGGACTGGGCCTCTGAGGGTGGGACCGTTACTTACCTGCCTCCCCAGTGGGGGACAGAAGAAGGGCCACCAGGAGCAGGAGCAGGGCCATCTCTGCAGGAAAGCTGCCCAGATCTGAGCGGCGGTTACTTCCCTCTGGTCTTTTAACCAGTGTCTCCTCCCCATGTTGCAGCTTTTCTCACTTGAGAGTCTCTGAAGTCTCACACCTCTGTCTGGTTAGGTCCTGGGGTCTGAGTGGAGTCTGTACTCTGTGGTCACTACAGAAGCGCCCATCAGCTCTTGGCTTAGAGCCATCACTCAGCAGGAAACAAGAAAATCACTACAAGTAGAAGTAGTGAGACGTTGTATCAACAAATACCAGATCTTTGCGCCCCAGCATCCTGGGTCCCATGATGAGAGATTCATGACATAGAATGTCTTCATTTCTGTGGTTCTCTTTCATCACCAGGGTGATTGGGTATTGAGGCCTCTTTGTATGAGAAATTTGGAGATAAGATCTCTCACTTCTTGTGAAGGAGACAAAACTGTTAGGGTCAAACAAGGATGGTGAGAACCATGGTGTGAGATATACAGGATGGCGTGTGAGAGTGATGCTGAAGAGTTATTAAACAGTTATTAAAGACTGAGTTGTTTTTTTAAAAACAGCAACATTGTTTTCCCCATGAACCTGTATTTTGCTCAGGATACAGTGTGGATAGCACTCCTCTGCTCCTCTTAGTATCAGGGAGGTTTGAAGCCTGGATGCTGAATTACTTGATGTCTCACTCACACTTGCCCAGTGGATGGAGCTGGCTGCTCACTGGGCATGTTAGTTTCTCTCCACGAGGCACCTCAAGTCACCTCTATTTCTGGGATTGTCATTCTCCCTCACACATGACATGTTGTTGGCTTTCTCCCAAATAAGCATCTGCCTAGAAATAAGCCAGGCACAAGCTGGGCTCTTTTAATTCCCTAAATTTTGATGTCCCATGGCATCTATTCTACCATATCCCTCTGTGTGAGGCAATCAAGAGCTCCCAGCAGATTAAAAAGGAAGGGCCCTAGATTTCATCTCCCAGCAGGAGTGTTGCAGTCAAGGAAGAAGAGCCTGTGGGATGGGAGTTCCACGTCAAGTGAGAATGGATGCCAGGGAGGCAAAGCAGAATTCCCCCACCACTACCCAGAGAATGGCCTTCTGATGTCCCCATACAATTTGCTAACCAAATTATCCCGGTCATGTCCCAATAATGGAAAAGGTGGAGAGAGGCATATAATTGAAAACATCATGGGGCCTAAACACCTTGATCTCAAGTCTCTTCTAAAGCAATGAAACCTTTGATTAAGAAACAAAGCCCACTGCTAATATGGATTCTGGCAGGGGAGCCACAGTTAACCAGGGCATGGATGGTCTCCAAGTCAAGCCCACGTTGGGTGAAATGTGTCCACACCTGGCCTCTCTCCTGTGTGGACACACGTCTCACCTTACACCCTGCATTGGACATCCTGGATCAGGTAACAGAATACATGTGAGGCAGAGATTCAATGTCCACATTGGGTAAGGAGGGTGTTCACACAAGGGATGGGTGGTTTCTGATCAAGGGAGATTCGTGGGCCTTCTCGGGGATCTGGGCAATCAGGTGGGGTTTATCAGAGCAGGACAAATAGGGTAAGGTGGGCATTGATAGGAAGGGGCTACCTAATGTGCATCACCAGATCCTGGGGTGGTAGGGGATCAGGGGATGCACTTGGGGATGATGGGTGAGAGATCGCTTATCTATATATCTCTGTAGATGCTAATCAGATAAGTCAACTTATTAAGGCTACTGAGCTAGGTTTTTCACTGAGGATTAGATGATAATTGTGGCATCAGTGTTAATTTCCTGGGTCTGAAGGTTGGATGGTAGCTACGTATGTCCTTGTTTGTAGGAATTACATTCTGTAGTATTTGAGAAGCAATGGAGTGCTGTTTCAGTAACTTATACTAGCAAATGGTTCTGGATAAGAAATGTTTTTGCATTGCGATTGCAACTTGTCTATGAGCTTGAGATTGTTTCCAATTTAAAAGGAAATCTGTACCTTTCACATATATAATAATAACCTGTTTTAAGATATAATTGAAAAGAAAATCTGTTACTGTATGGGCCTTCTCGGGGGTCTGGGCAATCAGGTGGGATTTATCAGAGCAGGACAAATAGGGTGAGGTGGGCATACCTCAAATATAGGTATGAGGCTGAGGAAAAACTTAACCAGAATTGTGAAAAACCTATTCACGCAAAATGTTAAACTGCTTCTGAAAAACACAAGAAAAGTCTTTAGAAGCAGCAAGATATTCTTAGTTCTCGAATACAATGGATCTACACCAAAAATGTTCTGATTCTCCCAAGTTAATATATGAATATGATAATAAAAATAATATATAAATGTGATTTTTTAAAGAAATCTATTGAATTTTTTCTCCTAGTGTCCCACAAGTTCTAGACAATTTATAAAATTTATGTGGAAAATAAACATGAAAGAATCACTAGGGAAATTTTGTCCAAATGAAAAATGTATAATAAGGGAGAAGGTTAGCCTATCAGAGCTAAAAACTACGAACGTTCTTCCCGGAACACAGTGTGATTTACTCTCTGTTCTTCTGCCCTGCTTTTCTGCTCTATAGTGTCATATCTCATTTTGGCTTCTTTATTGGCTTTCTGTTATAGATCTATGATGATTTTAGCTGTTACACTGAAGCACATGCCTTCAGCTTCCCCTGTCGCTCAGATGGTAAAGAATCTGCCTGTAATGCCGGAGACCTGGGTTTGACCCCTGGGTTGGGATGATCCCCTGGGGAAGGGAATAGCTACCCACTCCAGTATTCTTGCCTGGGAAATCCCATGGACAGAGGAGCCTGGTAGTTAAAGTCTATGGGGCTGCAAAGAATCAGACAGGACTGAGCAACTAATACTGTCACTTTTTTTTCCACTCATATGTGAACCTCGTATGGTATACTTTCACTTGTCTTTCTTCTCACATTTTGAGTTATCTTTGTCATACATTTCACCACTATATGCCTTAAATACTATTTTGCCTTAAATAGTCAATAATTGATGTAAGAAATTGATATAAATTCTTTTTCATTTAGTCACTTTAAAAAATTAAAGTATAGTAACTCACAGTATTTGTTTCTGGCGTACAGTATAGTATTCCATATTTTTATAGTTTATACTCCATATAAAGTTATTATATAGTGTTGACTACATGCCCAGTGCTGTGCATTAAATCCATGTATCTTATTTATTTTATACCTACTGGTTTGTACCTCTTAATCCTCTTCAACTGTCTTGCCTCTGTCACCACCCACTCCCCTCTGGTAACACTAATTTGTTCTCTGTATCTATGAGTCTGTTTCTATTTTGTTACATTTGTTTAACTATTTTATATTTTAGATTCCACACATAAGTGAAAATGTATAGTAGTTAGACTACTCTGTCTGATTTTACTAAACTTAATACTTTCCAGGTCCATTCATGTTATTGCAAATGGAGAAATTTCATTTTCTTATGGCTGAGTATATATTATTGTGTGTATATATATGCCACCCCTTCTCTATCCATTCATCTGTTAATGGATGCTGACCTTGATTCCATAGCTTGGCTTTTGTAAATAATGCTTCTTTGAACATTGGGGTGCATATATTAATGACTTATTGAATTAGTGCTTTTGTTTACTTTGGATATATACCCAGGTGTGGAATTGTTGAATCCTATGGTAATTCTGACTCAGACGGTAAAGTGTCTGTCTGCATGATGGAGACCCGGGTTTGATCCCTGGGTCGGGAAGATACACTGGAGAATGAAATGGCAACTCACTCCAGTACTCTTGCCTGGAAAATCCCGTGGACAGCGGAGCCTGGTCGGCTACAGTCCATGGGGTTGCAAAGAGTCGGACATGACTGAGCGACTTTACTTTACTTCATGGTAATTCTATTTTTAAGTACTTGAGGAACTTTGGTACTGTTTTCTTTAGAGGCTGGACTAATTTATATTCCTAACAACAGTATACTGGCTTTTTCTTTTCAACACATCCTGTTAGACTTGTCATTTGTTATCTTTTTGACAGTAGTTCTTCTAAGATGTGTGAGGTAATATTGTGATTTTGATGTGCATTTATTAGGTTGGTGCAAAAGTAATTGCGGTTTTTGCATTTTGCTCTTTGATATTGGAATGCATTCTTAAATATGGTTATGTCATATGTCAATTTAATGCACATTTCTTGCTTTATGTTTTTTTTCCTAATGACTTGTTACTTGCTGTTGGTTTATTGTTATTTCAGACTGGGAAAATGATGTTACACAAAAAGCACATTGATCAGTTTTCTTATTCCAGTTCAAAATGGATCATAAAGCAGCAAAGACAACTTGCAGCATCAACCATGCATTTGGCCCAGGACTGCTAATGAACATACGGTGCAGCAGTGGTTCAAGAAGCCTTGCAAAGGAGACGAGAGCCTTAAAGATGAGGGGTGCAGTGGATGGCCATTGGAAGTTGACAAATACCAAGTGAGAGCATCATCAAAGCTGATCCTCTTAAAACAACATGAGAAGTCGCTGTGAACTCAGCGTCGCCCATTCTACGGTTGTTCGGCATTTGGAGCAAAGTGGAAAGGTGTAAAAGCTTGATGAGTGGGTGCCTCATGAACTGATCTCAAATCAAAAAGATCATCATTTTGAAGTGTCATCTTCTCTTATTCTACGCAACAACAATGAACCATTTCTAGATAGGATTGTGACATGAGACAAAATGTGGGTTTTATATGACAGTGGCACCCACCAGCTCAGTGGTGGGACCGAGAAGAAGCTCTAAAGCACTTCC